CAGGCCGGCCCACTATAGATTAATTTTGCCTAAACTTAATGAACATGGAATCACACAGTTTCCACTATATCTGCCTTCTTCTACTCATCATTGTGAGATCTATCCATGTTGTATGCAGCAGAGTTGAGGTGCAACTAAATACAGCAGCAACCCAACACCCACTCAGTTCAACTCCTGATAAAATCAAAGAAATCAGCCCCTACGTGGAGTTTCACAGGAAACTAGGTGCAGCTGACAAGCAAAGAACGATTTCTTTGGTCTCCGTACTTATATACCAAAGCCCTGATAAAGGGGGAATTGATCTTACTCTCACTTATCTGAAACCAGAGATAAACTGAAACTATTTAAAACTGCAACTTGGTCCAAACCCAGCACAATTCCTAGTTAGACAGAAATGATTTGCCCCTCATCCCAGCAACCAGATAAAGAAATGATGTTTTCTCTCTGGGAAAGAATATTATCTACTTCAGTCCCTATTGTTCTTTTAACTACAACATGGAACAAAGTTATTAGAAGTAGATCTTGATAGATGATAGATTCCCAGGTGCTGGAATTAGCTGACAGATATAAAGATAAGTATTATAAATCTGTTAGAAAATTTAGAGAAAAGATGGACAAAATGGGTGAACAGAAAGAGCATTTTAGCAAAACAGGACAAAATGTAAATTCTAGAACTGAAAAATACAACATCTAAAGTAAAGAATTCATTAGATGAACTTAACATCAAACAGAACACAGCATAAGAAAGGATTAGTGAACTTAAAGATAGGTCAATAAAAGTGATCCAAAATAAAACATAAAAGGTGAAAATAACAGAATAGAGTATTGGATACCTATGAAATAATATCAAACTAGTATGAAATACATGTAACTGAAGTCCCAGAAGGAGAAAAGAAAGTGAATAGCATAGAGAAAAATAAAGAGAGAAGGCTAAAATGTTTCAAAATTTGTGAAAGATATGGATGCACAGGTCCAAGCAGCTCAGTGAACCCTAATTTGAATAAATACAAAGAAGATTCCACCTAGGCACAACTTAGTCAACTGCTAAAAATCAAACAGAAGAAATTAAAAGCAGTCTCAGCAAAAAACACATTATATTCAGGAGAACAACAGTAAGAATTAAAACTGACTTCTTGGGCTGGCCTGGCGGCGCACTCAGTAGAGTGCGGCGCTTGGGAGCGTGGCGGTGCTCCTGCCGAGGGTTCGGATCCCATATAGAGACCGGTCCGCTCACTGGTTGAGCGCGGTGCGGGTGCGACACCGAGGGTGGCGATCCCGTTACCAGTCACGAAAAAAGACAAAAAGGAAAAAACAAACAAACAAAAAAATCTGACTTCTCGTCTGAAACAATGGAAGTCAAAAGACAATGAAATTACATCTCAAAGTTCTGAAAAAAAAAAAAGAACAGAATTCTATATCCACCAAAAATATCCTTCAAAAAGAAAGGCAAATAAAAGACATTTTCAGACCAACAAAGCTGAGTATTTGTTATCAGTAGACCCACATTACAAGAAATATTAAAGGAAGTTCCTTAAGGGGAAATGATTCCATGTTGAATCTGTGGGAAGGAATGAAGAGCCCCAGAAATAGTAAATATATTGTTAACATAGAAGAATATTCTCATGATTTCTTTAAAACACTATCGTCTATCTAAAGAACATGGATTTGCAATAATAGCAATGAATGGTAGGGATTAAACATAGGTAGAAGTAATAAATGCAATAATAATACAAAAGACAAGAGAAGGGTAAATGAAATGGTACTTTTGTAAAGTACTTTTGTAAAGTTCTTACACTGAACATGAATACAATATTAATTCCAAGTAAACTAGGATGTTAAGAATGCATGTTGCAATCCTAGGATTAGGATAAAGTAACCACTAGAAAATATAAAACAAAGAGAAGAAGGTTAATAGGGGAGAAAAAATGGAAAATCATAAAAATACTTGATTAATCTGAAAGAAGGCAGTAAAGGAGGAAGAAAAGAATAAAGACAGGACAAATAGAAAACAAATAGCAACAACATAGATTTAAGCACAAATATATCGATTATTCCATTAAATGTTAATAATCTAAACACTAGATTATTAGATTGAATTAAAAAAAACTAAATACTGTTTTCAAGAGACATATCCTAAATATAACGACACAGATTGAACCAAAATGATAGAATAAGGCATATTTTAATAACTGGCAAGGTAAATTCCCCTACCTAATTTTCAAAATTGGTTTCAACGTATGCTTTGTACCTTGATTATTAGAAACAATTTTGTTAATTAAAAAAAAACTCTTTGAGATGTTGATTGCAATTCAATTGAATTTATAGATTTGGAGAGAACTGACATGTTTATGATGAGTCCTCAAATCCATGGATCTGGCATGTCTCTTCATTTACCTAGTATTTCTTTTAAGTCCTTAAATTGTTTTATAGTTTTCTCCAAACATATCTTTACTTCCTTTGTTAGATTTACTGTTAGACACCTTATAGTTTCTACTGCTACTGTAAATGGGATCACTCAAAAAATATTACTTTTTTTTTTTTTTTTTTGGAGACTGGCCGCACCGCGCTCAGCCAGTGAGCGCTGTGAGCGCACTGGTCATCCCTATGTAGGATCCGAACCTGCGGTGGGAGCGCTGCTGCGCTCCCAGCGCCACACTCTCCCGAGTGCGCCACAGGCTCGGCCCAAAATATTACTTTTTAAAAAGGTCTTATTCTAGACCATAGGACTGTTTCTAACATTTCATTATTTTTTTTTTCCTTTTTGTCTTTTTTACTGACCGGTAACGGGACCGAAACCTTCGGTGTCGCGCCCGCACCGGGGACCAGCAATGGGATTGCAACCCTCGGCGTCGCGCCCACACCGTGTCCAGCCAGTGAGCGGGAACCGGTCTCCACATGGGATCCGAACCCTCAGCGGGAGCGCCACCACGCTCCCAAGTGGCGCATTCTCCAGTGCGCCACCGGGCCGGCCCCTAACATTTCATTATTAAATGTCATGTTCAATAAAGTTTTTGTTGGATATTATTCATTGAGTTATAGAAATTCGTTTCTAGGTTATCGGGTTTTTTGGTTTTTTTTTTTTTTTCTTTTAAACATGAAAGAGCATTGAAGATGATCATATAGATTTTTCTACAGGTTGTTAATGTGATCAATTAAATCAAGATTTTCCAATATTATAGCATCCCAGTTCCTGGCATAAACTGTCTACATGTCCAAGGTACATTATTATTTTTATCCACTGTTAGATTCAGCTTGCTAATATTATATTTAGAACTTTTGCCAATAAATTGCTAAGTGAGATTGTCCTATAATTTCCCATTGTCATTCAGTCCACATCTGGTTTTGAAAAATTGCACTCCAGGGCCGGCCCGTGGCTCACTTGGGAGAGTGCGGTGCTGATAACACCAAGGCCCCGGGTTCGGATCCCATATAGGGATGGCCGGTTTGCTCACTGGGTGAGCGTGGTGCTGACAACACCAAGTCAAGGGTTAAGATCCCCTTACCAGTCATCTTTTTAAAAAAAAAGAAAAAAGAAAAATTGCACTCCAAACATAAAGAAGTTGGAGAGCTTCCCCTCTCTCTAGTTATTGAAACAATTTATATAAGATAGGGGTACTTTGATCCTGTAAGCCAGGTGAAGTGGCTGTAGGTAGATTTTTACTACTTCAAATTCAATAGTTCTGTTCAGGTTTTCTCCACCTTCTTGAATCAACTCTGATAATTTGTATCCATTACTGACAATTTGTATTTTGTAGAAATCCATTTCTTGTTAGTTTTTATTTTATTTTGGCAGCTGGCCAGTACAGTGATCCAAACCCTGACCTTGTTATTTTCTCAGTTTTTATATTAGCATAAAGTTCACTTTTTATTATAGTTTTAAAATCTATTATCAATAGTATTAAAAGCTATGATAGCACCAGTCAATAAAAAAGATACATATCTTGGCCAATCTTTTTTTTTTTTTTTTTTTTGTCTTTTTCCATGTCCGGCAACGGATCGCAACCCTCAGTGTCGCCCCCGCACCGGACCGGGACCGGCAACGGGATCGCAGCCCTCGGCGCTGCTCCCGCGCCTGGCTCAGCCAGTGAGCGGGAACCGGTCTGTATGTGGGATCCGAGCCCTCGGCGGGAGCGCCACCACGCTTCCCAAGAGGCGCACTACAGCAGTGCGCCACCGGGCCGGCCCCTTGGCCAATCTTACCATAGCTTTTATTTATTTATTTTTTATTTTTTTTTTAAAGATGACCAGTAAGGGGATCTTAACCCTTGGCTTGGTGTTGTCAGCACCACGCTCAGCTCGTGAGTGAACCAGTCATCCCTATATGGGATCCGAACCCGGGGCCTTGGTGTTATCAGCACCACACTCTCCCGAGTGAGCCATGGGCCGGCCCCTTACCATAGCTTTTAATACTACTGATACCAGAGAACTGGTGTTGGAGGAACATTGTCAACCCTTAGTTTGAAGAGGAGAAAGACAGTGAATTCTTGTAAATACAGATTGTTGTACTTGGATTTTAATTCTCAACAAAATCCTAAAATTATTAAATTTCGTTATTAAAATGATGGCCTTGAAAATGCAACCAAAAAAGTAGTAAAACTAGAAGTAGCAATAACATTAGCTTACAAGTAATATAAACCTATACCGTTTTTGTTTGTTTGTTTGTTTGATGGAGTTCCTAACAATTAGGGACATATTGTGAACATTTCAACAAAGCATCAGACAAAGCTGCTTAGGATACCCTATGGACCAGATGGAGAAATGTGGGTTGGGTGACAGGCAGTATTTTAGGTAGATATTTATAACTCTTTGAATGGCTATTCTCAAAGAATGAGGATTAATGGAACAAAATAAACTTGTAGAAGACTTCTATCCTTATTCCATTCAACATTTTTATTAAGGATGCAAAAAGTATACTTATCAATCTGTAGACAACACAAAGTTGGGATGTCAGCTAATATGCTAGATGACATCGAAAAGAAATGAGAGAGCTAGAAATATGGATTGCAATGAATAAGATATTTAAATGTGGTGGGCCAGTTAGCTTGCATGGTTAAAGCATGGTGTTATAACACCAAGGTCAAGGGTTCGGATCCTCTTACCGGCCAGCTGCCACACAAACACACAAAAAGATATTTAATATAGATAAAAGGCCTATACCCAGACTTTAAAAATCTGTCATACTAGGGTTAGTCTAGATCAGGGGTTAGCAAACTACTGCCTGCAAACCGAATCTAGCATGCCACCTGTTTTTATATGTCCCATGAGTTAAAAATGCTTTTTACATTTTAAAATATTTTTTAAAATCAAAATAATATTTTGTGACATAAAAATTGCATGAATTTCACCTTTGAAGGTCCATGAATAAAGTTTTACTGGAACATGGCCATGCTTATTTGTTTATATACTTTCTATGGCTGCATTTATGCTACAGTGACAGAGGTGAGTAGCTGTGACAGACTATCAGGCCCATAAAGCCTAAAATTCTTACTATCTGGCCCTTTACAAAAAGTCTGCCAACCCTTGATCTAGATGTTTAAAACTAACAGGTTTGGTAGATCACAAAGTTAATACAAGGCAACAGTGTACTACTATATCTGCCCCCAAGTTAAAATAATGCTATCTTCAATTATATTAAAAGAATTAAAGAGATTCTACATTCTGTCAAAATTTGTGAATACCAACTAAGGCCCTTTTGAACTAAGGGCCAGGCACTGTGCTGGTATTGCAAAGATGAATGCAACCTAAGTAAGACTTGGTTCTTGCCTTCAGGCTTAGTGTCAAAGAAGATGGACAAGCAAGCAACTAATAATATATTATTATATTATATAAATATTAATATGCTATGTGCTAGCATAGTGTGATCCACATCCAGAATACTGTGATCAGTTCTGGGTAGTATAAGTAGTACGTGTTGTCAGGCTCGATATTGTTCAGAGGAGAATAAAAAGTTCTTGACGATCTATAACCATGTTACATGGAGAAAGCTGAAAGAACAGGGCTGAATCGTTTCAAGACAAGATTTCCTGTAATCCAGTGGTTCTCAAATGGACTGGGGGTGATTTTGCCCTTCAGGGGACATTTGACAATGTCTGGAGATCGTTGTCACTGTCACAACTTGGTGGGGGAGGATAGGATGACACTACATATACCAACATACACAAGGCAGCCCCCCTCCCAAAAAACAATTATCTAGCCCAAGATGTGAACAGTGCAAAAGTGGAGAAACCCTGCGGTAGTCTGTTTGGGAGCAGAAATGTGGGGGATTTAGGGACAGAACTTGTTTTTTAAAAAGAGCTACATTTTAGGGAAACGTATCGAGCATTGATGTGCAGTAGATGAACAGGAAATAGCGTACTCTCCAAATGTTCAGTTTTCTTATCTCACATTCTTAATTATCTAAACTGTCTGAAGGGAGCAAACAAGTGCTTTAATACAAAATTCATTTTATACTTCCTATACCCACCATCATCTTTCCTATTTCCTGTGTTGGGTAGAATTACTTAAATAACAAGTAAGAAACAGCAGAGGTTGGGTACTCTTTAAGCTTCTTTTGTTTCAGTTAATGAGAAAGAGGCAAACAAACCCCAAAGAAACGCATGGAACAAGTCAGTAGATGTGTTGCTTCCTCACTCTTAAGTGTAGGTTTGGGATGTAGTCTAATCACCCACCATGAGATGCCTTGCTGTAAACACACATGTATTCCCTCGGGGCCTCAGTTTACCAAAGGTGGTGCACTCTGGGGTGCCATCCATTCAATTTTTAAAAATCCCTGCCCCTGGACTTCTCTGACGCCTTATCCTATCCTCTAAGCCAGGGCCACTGGGTTCCTCTGTAGTTCACCCTTTCATCTTGAGTTCACATGCACGTTCTGGTCCTTCTTTCTGAAAACTTCTCGGGTCAAGTCTTCGGTTGACTTTCTCCTTGACCAGCCCCCGTGGTTCTAGTGCTCTTACAGATGAACTCCTCAAACCTTTTCCCATAACATCATCAATGGGAACTTTGGCGGAAATTAAAACGGACACCACTTCTCATCTCCCCCCAAACCCTCCTCCTCAGACCTAACACAAACACTTTTGGAGGCCCCGCCCCAAATGATATAAAATATATTAAATGCATTCGCATCTTACACATTGGTAATTTATTAATTCGGTTTGCAACTGTTTTTCCCTTTTGGGCGTCAAAACGATTTCTGGCCTCAACAAGGTTCGTGGGCTGGCACTAGCGCCTCCAGGGCCAAGCGGAGAGAGCAGGCCTACCTCAGACTCCCCCGCGCCGAGGCTCCCCCTCGGCGCCTCCCGCCTCCGCGTCGCGAGCGTCCTCCCAACCCCTCTCCACTCTCCTCCATCCCTTCCCACCAGCATCTCCCTCCGTCTGCCTCGCCCGGCCGTGCTCCCACCTCCCCCGGTGCCGGCCTACCCCGCCCCGCCGACCCGCTCGCCTGGGCCTCCCGTTAGCTCCGGTCGCACAGACGGGCCGCCTCGGGACTTCCCTTGGGCCCCCGCCCCTCGCCCCGGCCTCCTCGGAGTTCCCGGGCGCGCGCCCCCGGCTCTTCGCTCCACCCTGCCCCCAGGCCCCGCCCCTCCGGCTCGCTCGCACCGAACGGGTCAAGCTAGGGTACCCCGCCCCAGCGCCTTTCCCCAGGAAAGTGCGAGAGCGCGCGCTGCCTGCCCACCCCCAGCTCAGCTCAATCCCTGGGGGCCGCAGGAACCCAGGGGACCCCCCCACCCGCTCACACGAGCACGCACGCGCAGTGCCCACTTCTGCAGCTGGGCGCCCTCCGCCCTCAAGTCTTCGGCC